GAGAGAGAAGAACAGAATCTAAGGAAAGAAACCAAGGATAAGGAGGGTCTCGAAGTGTACGGAATGTTGAAGGAAGGAATAGGGTTCAAGGATTACCTACATGCACCAATGGATGCAGGAACAAAGCTTAAGGTCAAACTCAGGACCGAGGACATCGGCCTTCGAGAACGCCGGCGAAGACATAGGACGGTAGACGAGGAAGACGACGAGTTCAAATGTGATTGCGGCTTCGAATGCGAAGACCGTGTTCATGTAGTCGCGGAATGTCCGTTGTTCAAGAAGGAAAGGGAAGCGTACATGACTGAGCTGGGAAAAATAGCTAGGACGTACAGGGAGATGTTTGAGGCATGGAATAGATAGGAGAGAACGGTAGCGGTACTGGGGCATAGGAGGAGGGTTGAAAAGGCGGGAAGGGATATCGTTAGNAAGGGAAGCGTACATGACTGAGCTGGGAAAAATAGCTAGGACGTACAGGGAGATGTTTGAGGCANGTCCGTCCCCTCGAGGAAGCGCGGTCAATGGTCTAACCGCTAAGGCATGCACAACATAAGAGTACACCCCCCCCCCCCCCCCCCCCCCCCCCCCCCCCCCCCCCCCCCCCCCCCCNCTTCCCCAAGCGGAGGCGTGTCCTCGACACAACGGCTACCTCCTTCAGCAGGCCCCGGAACGCGCGCATGTGCCGCGCCGCTTCCTCCCCGAACCGCTGCCTCGCCCCGTGGGCCGCCTGCAGCACTTTCCACTCGGGAACCACCACCTTCGCAGCCTCGGACTTAACCTTTCCCCTGAGGCTGGGGTTGGGGCCTCTGGGCACCTGAACGAGGGCATAGCAATGGAGTAATCCAAGACTAAATAAGACCATGTGTGTACCGCAGCAGGGAAGTTGGCGTGAGAAGGGTTTGACCATGCCGGCACTACCGTGCCAATTTTTTTTCCGGAGCAGCTACAAAAGCCTTGGCTCGTAGCTCCCGGTCGGGCCGTTGACTACTCATCTAGTAAAACGCCACCACTTTCCGTGCCATGATACACGTGGCAAACTCCTCAAATATTCCTACTAGTTGACGCATGTACATGTCGATCGGTATCGTGTGTGCGAGCAACCTACGGCTTACCGACTGACGGACGGGCGTGTGGGAAAGGAACTCTCCGTCCGGGGCGGCAAACTGCCGGGTAACGGGAGTGGGCAGCGGGAGCGTGTGTGCCTTGCGCTTGTGCAAGGTGGTGAGGTGAATAGCTTCACACTTGGCGCTCCCGACCGTCCGCCTGGTACGTCCGACACGAGCACATGCAGGCGGGCGACGCGTTGAGGGTCGTGATCAAGGCGACGCCGCGGCGAAGGAACGAGAACGTGAGGCATGATGCCTGCCCGTGCATCTGAAGACTTTTTCTGCTTTCGATGATCGTTTGTTGATTCAAAATTGAGACAAAGCTTGACACAATGTGGTTTTCGGCGCTGAAGTGCGTCAGGGGTTATACAGCTGGGCACGGGAAGGGGGGGGGGGGGG